GTGCTCGAGTTCAATTACATACTCTCTGACTGCAGTTCAATTCCTCATTCACTTCTGTTCTCTCGTCACGTTGTGACCGTCTTATATTCATACAAGACTGACACATATCTAGTAGTCTCCCGATAATTCACGGAGGTTCGAGAGAAGGACGTGACGTGATACTAGTCACGTGACCTCGCTGACGCAACAGTAGGTTGAGTTAAACACTGATACAACATCATATCAGGTGTAAGTCACATGCAGCATGATTTATTATTGAAAAACAAATTAGAACTTTATATAAACTGGTCCTCAACTTCCTATACCAAGGGAGGTTTCTAGATGTTTCTGGTTTTATGTAAAACGTCTTCTACTTACGGTAACTTAGCATTAACCAAAATGAAAGTTTCTAGCAGATTTACTTTATATGTCAGCTTGTAACATCATTTCTAAGCTATAATTGTAATGTTTTAACTTAGATGTTCGCTATGTTCAGGAAAATTCATGTAGTGAGTAGAAGACAACTATGTTATAAATGCGAGTTAGTTTAGTGCCAGTCAGTTATTCAGTGAATAATGGATGAGCGTTTGTTTGTTGATAAGTGTAAAGCCACACAATGGGCTATCTGTGCTCTGCCCACCACAGGTGTCGAAACCTGGTTTTTAGCGTTATATGTCTATAGACTTACCACTGTGCCACTGGGGAGACATTTAGTGAGTGATTAAAGTCCATGCCAGAAAAGTTATTCAGTGTTAGTAGTAGTAAGAGTTATCGAATATATTCAGGTACTTAATTCGATTAGCCATGGAAATGTACATGTACGTTTATTTGTAAGTTCTGCGTAGTACTATTAGTAATGAATTTCTGTTGAAATGTTATTTGTTAACTTTGACCTACAACTTGTGTTAAAGTTAATATAGCCTGTAGATTAGTTATAGAAGAAATAAACTATTTTGTTATCGTTACGTGGAATGGACTTGACATATTTTGACCAAATAATCTAAAAGAACCAACCCAGCGATAGAAAACGTTACAATACAGGTATTAGAAGTGGGCTCAATTTTGCAAAAATAAAAATAGAACTTTAACTGAAATTCAAGATGACAACCCGGTGTGGCGTGAGATCGAAAATTTGCTAGAAATGATGAAACCGAGGAAAGAAGATTAAGAAGAAAGAGACAGTAAATTGAAAGAAGACTTGTTGTTAATATCAAAACTGCACAATAAGATATTTGTGCTGTTCCCATCACGGGTCTCAAAACCTGTAAGTCCGCAGATTTACCATTGTGCCACGTGAGAGAGGAGTTAAAAGAAAGAGAACTCATATTTAAAGAAGAAATAAGAACAAAAATAATTCTGAATGAAAATAAGATCGATAAAACTATTGAAGACAGGAATTACAAAAATAAGACTGAAGAAGTACAGGAAGATATCAACCAAGTACAAAAATACAGAAATGAAGTCTAGAAAGGCTGTAATGACAATTGAAGAGGTATAAAAAAATCAGCGACAGAATAAAACATGCGAAAAACAGTTGTTTAACTCAAAGACCAAGCCAATCACACCTCTTCCTGCATTGGTTCAAGAGTTCCAACCTTAAACACACTTTTCTATTAGATATAGAATAAGAGAACCTATTTGATCCCCATCTGTTACTGCAACTGTGAAATACGGGATTACAGAAACTTCCTGAACTACTTCAGCCATTACACTAGCAAATCAAGTTCTAGGATTTAGCTGGCCTCTTTTAACAACATCGTCTGATCATGAAATTAACGGACTATGATAGAAAAGTATCATTTGAGGCATA